CTTGTGAACTTGATCCAGGTTCAGAACTTTTCACATTGAATATATCATCAAATATCGTAACTAGAACAGATTCTATGTCAGACCTGATATCAAGAAATAAATACAGTAAGTGTGAATAGCTAAAAGTTTTCTTAAAAAACAAAAGACCAAGAACTTCTAAAGGTTGTACCCGAATTTGTTAGCAGGTTAATTGATAAACATAAAAAATATTCCACCACCCAACTGCATCTCAGGAACTGAACCCTTTTTTTCTCATATGACATTTATTTAACCTTTTAATTCATAACAATGGCTTTTTAAAATTCCTTTTCATTAATTGAACAGAAAAGAAGCAATCTTGCATGCAAAGTCAACACAAGTAGTTCAGCTCAAAATTATAAGCGATTGTGCAAGGGACAAAATTAACAGAAAAGATGGCAGTTATTTTAAAGGACCCAACAACACCAAAGCCTATGTATATTAAGTGGTTACTCTCATACCTCCCCAAAACACCATCAGCTGTGACATCAGATAATTAATAAACAAACTCCTCAATCTCATCATTTGTTCCTTTCTCATAAGTCGTCTGCAATATGCAAAAAGAAGCAAATGCACCAAATGGGTGTCACCACGAGAGTCATAACAAGTAACAACCATTAACAGTTACAAATTGCACATGATATATGTGCATTTCTATGAATCACTAATACACCAGAGTCGAATCCACACAAACCAAATTGAAAAGAAACATTACCTTAGTAATTACGAGGTCTTCAAAGGTCAATTTCTGGTCTCTCCTTTGTTGGGTAACCAAATCAAAGAGTCTTTCCCCAAGAGCCCCTTTCAGTCCAAAGTATGCCTGGACCCAAATCAGAGTGAAACGAAAAGGCATCAATGGACGCAATTGGAATGAAGAAAAGAAGAAGAAATCAAATGGATCACTGAAAACGAACCTGAAAGACAGAGGGAGATATGTATCGACCGTCGCTCTGTGACTGGGCAGCCATGGACACGAACAGTGCTCTGAGATCTCCTATCTCCTTTTGCGTAAAAGCTCTGCAATAATTAATTCCGCTAGAACTGACTAAATAGACTATGGAAAGTGGAGAAAGTAGAAATAGAGAGGAATTGTTCAGAGAGAAACCTGGATGCCAAGGCGAAGCGAGAATTCACCGGAGGTGAGTGAGTGTTACGCATTGTACACTGCTTTTCTTTTTCCGATCTTTCTCTAATAATTTTCCGGTTTCAGTTTTTTCCGTTAACACTCTTCCACGTAAAGCAAAATCGTTGTTAAGTCCTCAAACTTATCTCATTTTAGTGTAAAAGTCTTTAAAAAAATGAGATCAGCCCCTACACTGCACGATTCTTGCAAATCAACCCATAAGCTAACAGACGTAAATTTCTCCCTTTTTTATTTTTTGAGAACGGTGTTTTTCGGGATTGTAAAAAAATTCGGTTCCTTCTACCCAAAAAAAATAATTCACTTCCAATTATGAAAGTATAAAAAATATTGTTCAATAAATATCGGATATTTAGATACTTTTTTTTGCCAAACTTCATAACTGAAAAAATATTTTTGTTTTTTTCTCAAATTAATTGCTATCAAAATTTCATCGAAAAATGAATTTTCAAATCATTACACAAAATGAAATTTTATAAATACCTAAGAAAAGCATAAATATATTTATAGTATTTTTAGTTTGTGGGATGGAGATAAGAGAGTCCATTATTATAATTTATTAAATTATTTTATTAATTTAATCATTTATGTTTTGTTAAATATGTTTATGATTTTAAATTTTAATTTTTAAAAATTTAAAACATCTTAAAATAAACTTAAATAATTTTGTAAATTAATTAAGTTAAGAGTTTTAAATATTTATTTTAAAATTTTAGACTTAATAATTTATTATTTTTAATTTCTAATTATTAATTTTAATTATTTAAATTTTAATTAGTCTAAATAAGGTCATCCCCACACTTCTCTCCTTTCCTCGTCATCATTTTTTTTTTTTTTAAATCTACCTCAGAAACACTTTTCTACACTTTATTGTTTTTTCCTATTTTCGTCAAAGAAAACAAAGTACTAATTAGTTAATAAATGAATCCAATTATCTTTCCATTAATAACGCTATTAGAAGGCTGAAGATATATATGGTTTACGGCCCCTCATCGATCCATTGATACTCTTAAATGAGAGCTGTGTTGTGTGTCTACAATGGCGAGACCATGGGTGCTGGTCGTCCTTCTCCTGTTAATTGTATTCACATCGCAGTTCGAGTGGAAGCAGCAATTGGGGAACGAAATCGAGGCGAGCCCCAACAATTCGCTCAAAGATCACTACGCTTCGCAACACCAAGAATCTGTAAAAGAAAAGGTACGTTTCCAAGCACCATGTCTTCAGCTTTGCTTCCGATTCTGCGCATTTTTTTTTTTTTTCAATTGATTGTCAATTGGTGAGACCCTTTATGCAATTTGTCTGGGTTAGAGATTTTGCTTTTAGGATGAGTGTCTGTTAAAGTCGACGAGTTTGAGGACTAGGTTGCTTTGAACTGACTGAAAGGTTAATTGGGGGGTAAACTGTTATTTAGGAGAGGCTTTCAAGATTTGGGTTTTTGTGCAAATTTTTCTCCTTTTCTTCATTTCTTTAATGGGTTGCTGCTGGCTCGATCCAATGCTGCATGGTCTCTCAGGGAAAATACATTGTTCTAGTCTGTAATACTAGTTTTACCAAAGCTCCAGACTTGTGTCATTGTTTTCTAGCTCAAGGAATTCTGAGATGAAATTTCTGCTACTGCTATGTTGTTGAGTACTGAGAAGAGCTATGTTGTTTAGATGATGTTTACTTCTGCACTGCCACAGGACCTGATATGTTTATGCTTAAGAAATTCAAAATTAGATATAAAAGAGATTCTGGCTTTTTTTATTTTTTATTTTTTTTTGGGAGCATTTAAAATTTTTAGTTTTGGTTCTTTGTAAATAACTCAAGCCTGTCTAGTTTCAAAACCTTCCTTCCCCCAACAAGGAAAAGATGACCAGCGGAAAACATAGTTCAGAAAATTTTATGCTCAATCTAAAACTTACTCTAGATTTTTCTGGAAATAGATGAAATCACCTTGCCAGGAATGTGGCATGGATTTAAAAGTTTATTGGTTATTTTGCTGATGTAATGATGGCAGAATCATCCTAGAAAACAGTGTATAAGTATCATTTCAGCATGTTTGGTTATGCTTATAGTCGAGTTTGATGTGGACTACATTCACAGTCTGAAGAGTTCATCTGTAAAACTAGCAGCTTCTTTCTTGGCCAAAGTTGATTAGGTCTTCGTATTGCTATATCTTGTCCCAGGAAGGATTATTTTTATTTATGTAGTCCTAAGAAGGATTTACGTAGCGAAGTTTTCTTGATTCTAGAGCTTATGAATAGCATCTGGTATTTTTGTCTGTTCTCTTTTGATATTTGAATAATTTTAGTATTCCATTCAAGTGAGTCCTTAAAATGTGCTCAGAGATACAATATACTGTGATTTGAAATATGACCAGAGCAAGTGCATGGGTAACCTAAGATGCTTGTTGTATAACCCTAGCAATTGTATAACTTAAGATGCTATTGTATAACCCTAGCAATTGTGCCTATCCCCTTTCTCTGCAAGTGAGCCCTTAAAATCAAGATTCTGAAAGTTGTCTTTGATTACATTACCTAAACTCAGAAGTTTCTTTCTTCATTCAATACCTCTTCAATATATTTATTAAAAAATCATTATTTTTTGCCTAAAATTAAAAGTAAACAAACTTAACAATACAGTCATTTATATTGGATGTAAGAACTGATTAAATTGCTATAATTATATTCTATTTTAATACCTAAATCAAAACTAGTATCAGAAAGCATATCAAACTAAATATTTACAAATCATTTTTCAATAATAATAATAATAATAATAAAGGGCTCGTTTGTGTGTGCCATTTTGCAATCAATTAGATATTAATACTTGTAATGAAGAGGCAAATTTTTTTTTTTTATTTGCAGTTTTGAAAGATGCAATTCAGTGTTTCGTATATATCAATTTTACTATGTGCTGCATTGTGCATTCACAAGTTTTCTTATGAGTTTTTAATTTTACAAATTTAATTGTATTAAATTATAAAATAAAAATTATTAAATAAGAGAATAATTCTTAATATTGATTCACTCTCCTATAATATTTAAAATTGTTCAATTTGATACAGATTAAATTGTTCAACAATTTTTTTATTTTTCAATAGTTATTTTTTTATTCTGCTAGGAGTTCATCAAATCTTTCTTACTTCCTTATTTTTAATCATTTGGCAAAATGTGTAAATCGGCCCATGTCGTTTGCGTGTGTTTGCAGGTCAGCGTAGGTGGTTTGTGCATGGCAAGATGGGTCACTCGAATTTAGGTTGTTAGCGCTTGTCCACAAATGGTTAAATACCTTTTAGTCCCTCAGCTTTTATATTTATACTAAAATTATCCTTTAACTTTTTAAAACACTAAAATTTTCCCTAAACTTTAATTTTATGGTACTAAAATAGTCCTCAAATTTTGAATATGATGCCCAATTTTCCTTGAACATAGAAGACAAATACCAATTTAATCTTTTCATTTTAATTATATATTAATTTGATTTATAAATAAAAATATATTATGATCTTAAAACATGACTACGTGACTTTATATGTCATTAGTATTTTAAAAAAATTAATTTTATAGCAAAATAATAAGTTACATGACATTTTTATTAATGGAAATATTTTTTTGGTATTGAAAATTAAAGTTTAAGGATAATTTTGATACTTTTTGAAATAAAGAGACAATTTTGATAGAAATTTGAAAGTTGAGAGACCAAATAAGTATTTTCACCTCTACAAATCTATAGAGTAACTTATACTCTCTTTGTGCCAAACACTTTTATATATTTTTTGCTCAAAATTTATCTAAAATTAATTATCATTTTTAATTCTTTTAAATAAGGCAAATATTTTTTTTCATTCTTTAATTTTACTATTATTCACTAACTTTAAAATTGTCATTATTTTTTTATTTTAACTTTTCATTTATCATAACTTAAATTTTTACAAAAATAAATATATGTCTAAATAATATAATGAATAAATTAAAAAATTAAAATTTTCCTTAAAATTATTTTAATGTAATTTATTTTCAGGTTTCGAGGCTTTATCATAAAAATAAATGATGTTCGGGTCGGAATTTTGAAGAAAAATGGCAAAATCAGACTTATGTGTAGAAGTTCGGCAAATGAAGTACCAAATGGCAAAACGGCAAGAAGAAAGGGATCAAATAGCACAAAACTCATAAAGTTAGGTAGATTTTTAGATAAAGCTCGCAAAACCATTGATCCAATGGTGTTCAGAAGCTTACAAAGTAAACCCAAATTGTCTAAAAGCCCACCAGATGCCAACAAGAAAGCCCGCTTTTAAGTTCCAGCCATCTCCACAAACCCGGTCCAAAAA